ACATTCTGGGATTCTGTGATTTAGGGAAAAGAAATGCCACAGGTGTGCGTGGACTCTAAACCAGTCTCTTGTGAGCTAGGTGGTTCCTCAGGCTTCATGATATCTCCTACCAAAACCTATTAGCTAATTTGCAGCTTACAGTGGAGAACTGAAGAGAGCAGCGAATTCTGTGTATTTCATGAGCATGAGAAGGTCAGAACTTCTCCACGCAGGAGATGTGAAGCATCCCGATGTGATTGCTTGAGACCTTGACAGTTCATGTGAGGAATTCTTTTACACTTGGATGTGGCTGTATAATGCAGAGTTGGAATTCCCTTCCTCCCCTTCCCGTAAGATCAGTCGCATGTCTCAACTGGTGCGCTCTACCTTTCCTGGAGTCCTCGTGGTGGTTTTTACACAAGCTGTTTCAAGAGCCTTCTGTACAAGATGCCTTGGGCAAGTTCCTAGCTTTGTAGATTCAAGCTGTCGGTAAATAATTTCACAATGTTAATTACCATTTTTCTATCTTCTATACTAATTGAGGCATTAAACAAACAAGTTAAGGCAGTAGTGGTTTTTAACGATGTGAAAAGCGTTCATTGTAAGAATAAAATATTTAAAATGCGGTGTTTCTGATGCTGTTTCAATTTGTGTAATTTTCTGGTAAGATGTATTGCTGAAAATCCCAGCTTGGGATTCTGGTGACATCTTAAATAACAGTAGATGTCACAGTTGTCTGGGGTTTTTTTAGTGGAAGCATACGTGGCAGTTGCTTGGAGGAAGACTTTAATTTTTCAATTCGAAGTGTATGAATGCGACTACAGGTTTAGAGAATGCTGTTATATCAAAAAGCAATTGATGTACCGTAATGTGAGAACACAAATTTTATCCTTTCCATTTTCGGGATGTGGGGGAGAGGGAGCTGCTGCCGCTGAATGCGTAGTACAACATCACATTTTTAAAAGACAGGTATTACCTGCAGCTTAGGAGAAAAGTGAGAGCTTCAGAAACCTCAGGCTGGGGTTTGAAACCAGTTGCGATGGCAGGAATTGAGCTCTGCCGCCCCTGCTTGTCCCTCTCAAGCTGACCCGCTCATACACCAAATTATTTCCTGTAGTGACAGAAGCGGGCATCCATGGACTGGGTAGGAAATACTGCACATGATGTATCTCTGTACGCATTGCTTTTGAAGAGGCAGCGCTGTGGATCGTCCTGTTTTGAAAACAAAATTAACTTTTAGAAAAGAATATATACATATGTTTGACCTGACAGCTTCCCTTAAATGCATCAACACAACTGCAGTACCTAACATTACGGATGTAAAATCACCCTTCTTAAATGGGCTGTAGATAGCGTGTCCCGAGTTAGATGTAAACCATCCAGAAGTGTCCTAAATGCAGTTTTAATGGCTTGGTTTGCAGCTAAATCTAATCCCAGTGAAGCATGAAGTCACTTTTGTGGCATCTCTCAGTCTCCAGCCCTGTGAACTTTCTGAAGCACAGTGAGTTTTTCCTGGCCTGAAATCTTTGCTATCGAAAGTCCTGTAGAAACACGGTGCCCTGCAATCCCATAGCAAATTGCCTAAGCGTTGTATAAAATACAAGCTGTCTTTTGATTAAACCAGTTTTAACTTTGATCTCTCGTTCTGTTTTCTAGAACTACTCCATGGCAGTCTATCTCGTGAAGCAGCTGTCCTCGACGGTGTTGCTGCAGAGATTGCGAGCAAAAGGCATACGAAACCCCGACCACTCGAGAGCGCTGAGTACGTCTGAGGGGCTCCTCGGTTCAAAAGGGAAAATGGCTTTTGTAAAAGGAGGTTTGAAATAGGACTGTACGAGCTGAGGTTTGGACTTCCTACAATTCTCCGGGTTTTGAGAAGCTGATAGTGGTGTTCTTTGTATTCGGTTCCAATTCAAAGACTCAGAGGCCTTTGTTTGCACTAGGAGCCAGGCCAGGAACCCTGTTGACACTGTGAAGGGAAAAATGCAAGAGAATCTCTTTCGGTTCAGCCGTGCTGGCTTTGTTTCTTCAGAGCAGAACAACTGTATTTATACAGTTAACTGGTAATTCAGTACCTCGGGCGAGCCCAACTAAATGCCTGATACTGAACCCTGACGCTGACGTGCTGCAGGGAAGTCTCCATCAACGCAGGTTTTATTCCTTTGGCGTGGTCGTGTGGAGCGGGCTCCCGGAGAGAGCGTCTAGCGCCGTAACTGCTCCCAGCCCCCTCCAGATTTAAGTGTGAGGTTTGCTGCTTTGTTTGCTCTGACAAGTAGGTGTCAGTGGAGGTTTGTGTAGATAAAATGCAAGCAAAAACTGCTGCTTGTTTCTTTTTCACAGAGAGGGTGAAAATACCAACACCTGGTCGTGCTCTTTAATGCCCAGATAATGCGTGTTGTGCACAGCGCAGGACCTTCTCCAGGAGGAAGGAAATCAGGAAATGCTACAAAGCATAGTGCTGGGCATTGGCTTATGTTCATGAAGTATGATGATTTAAATGCACAAAAATGTAGAGAGTTTCCAGTTGGCCACTGCTGTGTGCGTACAAAGTGAATGAGGGTGCAGGTCTGGTCCATAGAGCAGGAAGAACATGGGACTGACTTATTAATTTAACCAATATCAGCTTATAAAACACTCCTTGTAGGTAAAAGCAGAGGAGACGCAGAGATGAAAGACTTCTGTAGCGCTAATATTTCACTGCAGTTATTTAACAGTCAAATTTTGTCAGGATACTTCAGATTTCCTTTTTTCTCAGTTTGCTTTTCAGTTTTAAATGGCAGGATTGCTTGATGAGTATTTCAGAGGTTTACAGTGGTGCTTGTCCTCGTGAGGGCTGCTAACGTGGATTTCTAATGTGCTTGAAGTTAACAAGTCAATGTGGCTCATCTTGTCGGTAGATTTTAAATAACTGTCAAGTACAAAATTAAATGTATATGAAGAGAGACATCTCTGTATAAATAACATTTCCTAGGGATCTTGGTTTGAGATGAGCTTTTCCTGCTTTTCTGCTTTCTTAAATCTTGCCATTTATGATCTTTCTGGAGAGTAAAGACTGCTTATGGTGCATGTTTATTATGTGAGTCTGAAACAATAGCAGCTGCTGCTTGCTTCCAGTAGATAGGGCAAACTGGAAGTTTACCACCCAGTTTCAGACTTGTTTTATTTCGCTGTCATGCAATTTGTGTTTTAAATCAACCATCAAGTAAACCTTTTCTTCTTCCAATTCGCAGTTAAAGAGAAGCTGACTGCCGATCCGGACAGCGAAATAGCAACAACAAGCTTAAGAGTTTCTCTGCTTTGTCCAGTAAGTATTTTTAATTCCCTCAGCACTGATTCTGATCAAACTGTGGCTGTTCTGCGACGTGTGTTTGGTAGGGGTTAGCTTGTGTTCGGCTGTGTGTTAACTTGTGGGGGTAGGATCCAGCGCTGAAGTTACCTGTCACTGTGCTTGAGCGTGTGGTATACCCCTGAGAAAAGGAGTGTTCCATTAGCTTGAAAACACTATTCAAAATTCTCTGTAAGCATGCGTTTAAATCTGTCACTGGATCATCTGAGTGTGCGGTTTGCGTCCTTGATTGTGCTAAAACAACTCTCAGTGGTAAGGTAGGTAACTCCGACTGTTAAAAATGGCTCTTCAGCCTGTGTCTGCAGTCAAAGAATTGAGCATCTTTTAGTTGACGTTGATGTGTAGGCTTTGAGTGTTTAATAATCTTGGTTTAAAAACAAAGCAGTGTCCTAGAGGTGGTTCAAACAAAATTTGTTCTGAATTTGAAGCGGAAAAATAAAGTTCCACTGAATGTGGCAGTGGCAGAGATGTGCTCTGACTTGACCTACTAATTGTTTTTTCATCAAGCAACAAGTAGTTTATACCTGGGTTTATGGTATCGTTGGTAAACAGCACAATATTAATATTATGTACACCTGTTTAGTCTTTGGGACTTGGTGCTCTTGTTTCAAGTACCGTGCATCGTCAGGATGCTTGCTGGCTGTGTTGATTGACACGGTATCTTTATTGCAGTGTAACTTTTTAACCTCTTTTCGAGATGAAGGATACATCTGTTTCCTGGTTTGGCTCAGTCTGCTCCAGCTTGACACGGGATTTTCAGTTTTGAAATCTAAAGAAGAAAACTGACTTGATTCTTGCAAAATTGAAGCTTATTTCATGTTCTTAAACTACCAGTGTAAGGAAAAACTTTTAATTATGGAAGCTTGGCTTTGAAAAAAGCACAGTTGACATTGTGGTTACTTTTTATATACGTGTTAGGTTATCGTATCCTCAATTTTAAGACTTTCTCCATATCAGCATTGGTGCTAACTAGATAATAACACATTTACGAGGAAGATAAAACTCATCTGCAAGAAAGATACAAGTATTGCATTCACAAACGAAAATCCTGATCTGTAAACTTAGAACCTCTAATTTATAATCTTATAAACCTATGAACTTACGTGTCCCATTGCAACCACTGGAGTATTTGGAGTCCACACCTGCAGGTTATTTTGCTGCCTTGTTAATAGTTGTATTTTTGCTGTGCTGATGGTACAACAACAATAGTCCTGTTGGGTTTTGTGGTTGGGTTTTTGGTCATTTTTCAGGTACAATATTCTCACCACTTTACTATTTTTGTCCGGATTGGAAACTAATTTTATCTGTTAGTAGGAATGAAGTGGCTCTAAGAGTTTAGAAGTGCCTGTGTATTAATTCAATATCTTTAATTAATCTTCGTGCACCTTCTGGAGTTACAGATTTTTATTTTAGTCACGTATGACTTGTAAAAGCTGCCACTTCAGGCAGTTGTGTTGCTTTCTGGATCACTCCATGGGAGTTTTCGGGCACATTTCTGCTTGTCCTGGTTGCCTCCCTTGCTGATACCTGAGGATGTCAAATGCTCTTTTGCTTGCTCAGAATTCTGCCAGGGGTAAAACCAGAAGAGCAATCAGCCATCAGGATGTAGCTCTTCAGAGCTCCTACCTTTGTCAGTATTCACTTACTATTTTCTGACAGACACACAAAACAAAACCAGATTATTTTGAGTATATTTGTCTCTGGCATCTTGGCCTGTATTAAAAACAGTGTGACCAGCAGGGCCAGGGAGGTGATCATCCCCCTGGACTCGGCACTGGTGAGGCCGCAGCTCAAGTGCTGTGTTCAGTTCTGGGCCCCTCACTATAAGAATGATGTTGAGATTCTGGAGCGTGTTCAGAGAAGAGCCACAAGGATGGGGAGGGCTCTGGAGAACAAGCCTGATGAGGAGCGGCTGAGGGAACTGGGCTTGTTCAGCCTGGAGAAGAGAAGGCTGAGGGGAGACCTCATCACCTCCTACAGCTGCCTCAAGGGAGGTTGTAGAGAGGTGGGTGCTGGTCTCTTCTCCCAGGTGATGGGGGATAGAACAAGGGGAAACGGCACCAAGCTGTGCCAAGGGAGGTTCAGGTCAGAGATAAGGAGGAAGTTCTTTCCTGAGAGGGTCGTCAGAAGCTGGCACAGGCTGGCCAGGGGGGGGGGGGGGGGACCCACCCCGGATGTATTTAAAGAGCGGGTAGACGAGGTACTTAGGGATATGGTTTAGGGGTAGACAGGAACGGTTGGACGTGATGATCTCAGAGGGCTTTTCCAGCCGAGCGAGTCTGTGTGTGTCTCTGTGTCACTGTCATAATGTCTACAGAATACACACGCTTGATTCTTTTTCCAGTATGTTCCTCATTCAGTGCTGATTTCACTGCAGCCCTTGGAATAATCCATCATTGCAAAAGCTCATTGGGACAAGGACTGCACCTTTCAACCTGTCCTATGAATAGAAAGGTTATTAGTGTGACTCAGACTGTCCTCGAGTCCAAATGTAATTTTATTATAGCCTCCATACTTCTACATGCTAATTTATAAGCATTTGGCTCAGGGAGAATTTATTTAATAAGTATTTTCTGCTTATTTTCTAATGCTTGAATGGGCAGCGTATGCTCTGAAAGTTAAAAATGCTGATTTGGCCTCCAACAGCAGAACCAGAAATGAAATAACGCTGTGTCTCCAGCGCTGTTAACGTGAGGGGGCTGTTTTCCCATCCCATTTGTTATGGGTGCGATCCTCTCCTGTGCATGCTTCAATAAAACAAATGGGATTGCGTATCTGGACGGGGCGGCAGGTTTAGGCTTCATAACCTTTCTTTTGCCCTCAAAAAAGTGCAGAGCGAGGCAGCTTCCTGTGAATTTGTTTTTTGGATAGCTGCTGAGCTTTTTTTAGCACAGAGGCCTGCGCTCCCTCCGAGACCGCGGAGAAGGGAGAAAAAACTGCCCTTAAACTATTGGCTGCATCTCGCCGAGATACAGCAGGAGAGGGGCTGGCCTGAGCCTGTGCTTCAGGAAGACGCTTGAAATCGTGCTCCTTTTTTTTCCCTATTTTACCTCCTGGAAATAAAAATAAATAAATCCACGGGTTCTGCAGCCGGAGCAAATATTTGGCCGAACAAAAATTCCCAATCCTAGCCTTTTGCAGCTTTGTTTACAAATCCTTAACTCCTGTTTCGGGTACATTTTTTTAGCGTGAAAAGATAGCAGCGTTTTTGTACGCTCCTAAAATAAATCGGTGCGGTCTTTCTTTGGCAGGAATCAGAGCAGTGTTGGGAAAGGAGGTTTGTTTTTTCAAAAGTTGGGGTGCATCCTTTCTTTCCTGGCCTTTTCTTTTGTCAGCTCTGACACGGCTTGGCCAGGACGGCAGAGCTGATCCGGGAAGTTCAATGCCAAAAATGGGAAAGGAGACATCAACTCGTTAGTGCCGAGTGCTCTGATTTTATCTGTCTGCGTATGGCTTCGGTTAAACCCGACTGCTGCTTACAAATCAGAGCCATGGTTTTTATGTTTCTGGTTGAAACGTGCTTTTTAATTCAGGATATGGGTATTTATGTTCTTCCTGCAGCACGTGTCTTCGACCTTCCTTGTTTTTATTTTGCCTCACATAGAAGCATCCAGGTTTCCTCTCTGGTACCCCCTTACTCTTGATCCTCTCCGAGCTGGGAGACTCTTTTTGTGCCCAGAAGACAAATGAGCCATTGACCTGCCATCTGGGAGAGAAGAATTCGCAGCAGCCGTGGATAAGGGGGCCTTGCTGCTTTGGGGCTTGGTTGTGTGATAGAAATAATGTGCTTGGTCATGGATTTTGGGGGAGGGGGTGCCAAACACATGGCACATAGAGCACCTCCTGCTGTCAGAGCTTCCCACCACCATGGCCACAGCCTCCCCGGGGACGTTTCTGCTCCCCTCCCATCTGGTGCCGAGTTTTGTGACAGCGACCGAGAGCCAGAGGGAAATAAAAACAAGCAAGATCCTGCAGTCTAGCGCTGGGGTGGAGGGATTTCTGCTCACGGAGAATGCAAAATAAATAAATAAAACTAAAAAAGCATCAGGGAGGAAGTAGTGGACTGTGAGTAGAGCCTTTGTTCTTGGTATTTCGTCTTCTGATGTGGTGAGATTGAGTGCCATCCTGTGGCACCCATCTCGCATTGCTCAGGATCAGCGTGCGTGACCACGGTGATTGCTTAAAGCCGTGCTCCAAACAGTTCCTCCTACTGCCCCCTGCTAGAATTGGCTGAAGGTTTTCAGATGAAGTCATCGTGTATGCTGTAGTCAAGTATATGTAACTCCAAAGCTCTCAGTATAAGTAATTCTTAATAAATAATGGTTTTGTTCTTTTTTATGTGGGAGAAGTCTTGTTTAGATGTTCCTGGGTTTTACCTTTAGTGTGGTCAGTTAAAGTTAAAGCCTGTCCTAAACTGCAGCAAGCACTTTGCCAGAAAAAAACTGCTTGTTTTCAAACTTCTTTACTTCAGATTAGTCTGAAGTGCCTTTCAGTGCCTAATCAGTTTTGCGTTCAGATGAATCATATGTTAATATTTGATGGTCTGGGTTAATGCTGATCTATCCAAGTCAAGATATTCCTGTTCCACAGTTTACCCTAAGCACTCACTGTGTACCACTCCTATAAACTGCCTGGCATAAGCACTTAGCTCTGCTTTTTATATTCAACTTGTGGAAGCTTTGCTCCAGCCTTTCTGCAAACTTGAAGGAAAGGATGGTCCCCATCTGAAAGTGTGTTTTAGAACTCATTTTCTCCCATCTTATCTTCCATTATGATTTGCAGGCCCTTTGTAGTGTTGAAAAGATGTGATGGTGTTATAGGGTTTGTATTTTACACGAGGAACAGGCAGTGGCATTTCAGGTTAGCTCACAAATCTGCATAGTAGTGGTGTTTATCACGGCAGGACGAGTATAACATAGTCTCTTAATATTTAACAGGTGTTTATTTTATGGAAATATAGTTAAAATGTGATTTTCAGTAACTCTTACGCAATAATCAAACCTACAGGAAGGAGGGAACGGTGTATGTGGCACGTGTGTTAATCAGATCTCAGACTTGTGAGAGTTCTTTCTGGAGTAAGACTCATCTCTGTCTCTTTTCAGACAGAAAAGCCCTGTTTGTTAATGTAATACCAAGGTGATGTAATGTTGTTTCTTTTTTTCTCTTAAAGCTTGGTAAAATGCGGCTAACCATACCATGTAGGGCCCTGACTTGCTCACACCTGCAGTGTTTTGACGCCACCTTGTACATCCAAATGAATGAAAAGAAACCAACTTGGGTCTGCCCTGTCTGTGACAAGAAGGCTCCCTATGAACACCTCATCATTGATGGGTGGGTAAAACTCGGGGGAAAATCAAGGCTGTACCTTACACTGTCTGCGTCCTGGTTTTGGGCTGCACAGGATACAGTGCTCCAAAATTATGGTTGTCTGGCTGTGACCTGTTTTAAGTTACAGCATCCTTTAATTCCCTGCTGTTGCTGAAGAATTACAAACCAGGGGCCTCTTCATTCAGTATTCTGCAAGCATTGTGGGCATCAAACAAAGTTAATAGTAATGAAAGGTATTCTTTCCAATCCTAGATAAGTTTTTTGAGCTCCCCTACATGAAATGATTGGGTAGGGTGGTTTTTGGTTTTGTTCTTGTTTTTCCCCAATATTCCTTAGTGCTGGATCCCTAGGTGAAAACATTTACTTTTAATAGAGCAGCTGTACTAATCCGGGATAGTTGATAGCAGACATTCTTGTGAGATCAAATACTGCCACCTCCCAAATATATATACATATATATATATATGTGTCCAATCCTGGATCTGCATTTTAATTCCTTAGATAGAAACCTTCTTTCCAAAGTGTGGTATAAAGTTCCTTGTTCTAGGTTTCCACCTAAAATGGTAAAGACAAAGAGCAGTATTAATTAAAACAATGCATTTTCCTTACTTCTCCTGTTGCCAGGTGGGGATGTTGGAGAGGAGGTGATGTAATTACAGCATCCCAGGGAGAAGGCTATTTCTAGAGAATGTTTCAATCTGGGAAAGAGGGAACTTTGTCGCTAATTAAAGCACAGCTCTTTCCTACGCAGAACCACATGAATAGTCTTGGTCAAAAGCTGGAATTCCCACTGGGAGGGATGTGGTGCCAGGATCCTGAAAGTTTGAGGAGGCGCAGCGAGGAGAAGAGGCTGCAAGTTCAGATTCCCATGCCCAGCTTCTGTTAGGAAGCTTTTACTTAAAAAGAAAAGAGGGGTTTCAGGAAATACAGGTCCTTAAATACTCCTGTGACGTGGCAGCGTCCTCAGTTAAATATTGTCAGAGATAGATAAGGGTAAGAAAGATCTTTATTTTAAATATTAGTTCACATTCTCCCCCCTTCATTTCGGGAAGTGGAGAGTTCTGTGGCACGACCACTGCTGGATTCCAGTCTTGTTCTTTTCGGTGAATCTGCAGGTTTTTATTTTAGGCAGCATTTTAAATTTTTCAGTGGCTCCTTTTTATCAAGGAAGCAGATGAGGGAAGAGCAGAACAATGAGAGCCCTTTTTAAACACGACTTCTGACTTCCACTGACTAATGAAGGTATTTTAGATAAAAATGAGTTAAGCTCTTTTTCTATTAAATGTTTTTCTGATTGACAGGTTGTTCATGGAGATCCTGAAGTACTGTACAGACTGTGATGAAATTCAGTTTAAGGAGGATGGATCATGGGCTCCTATGAGATTGAAGAAGGAAGTGCAGGAAGTAACTGCATCTTACAACGGAGTTGATGGTGAGTCCTGGTTTGGGACGTAAGGACTGAGTGTCACACCATTGAAGTGTTAGGTATTGATGGTCCTTTAACTTTTCAAGGTGCTCATTTTTGCATGTATGTTTGAATCATACCTGTTTGGGGGTGGCCATACTTTTATTATCAATGTTGCGTGATTTTGTTGTCTTTTATTCTAAGTTGCAAGCTTTATTTATGAAGGCATATAATAAGCTGTGATGTTGTGATGATTGTAGAGTCATTGTAAGCTCCAGCTTATAATGTTGGCTTACTTTGTGTAGGATGCATAAGCTCTTCCTTGGAACATCAGGTGTCTTCTCACCAACAGTCAAATAAGAATAAGAAAGTGGAAGTGATTGATTTAACCATCGATAGCTCCTCAGATGAAGAGGAAGAAGAACCATCTGCAAAGAGAAGCTGTCCTTCCATATCTCCAGCATCGCCGTTAAATAACAAGGGGTGAGAGCAAAATACGCAGCCCAATGCAGAGAGAACTTACTCATGATGGGAAGTAGCAACAAACTGCAAAAGAAATTGTATCTGAAAAATTCTGTATTTTGGATTATAGCCTGATTTAGTAGCTTATAGCAAATGGATTTGGTCTTTGGTCACAAAGCCTTAAAAAATGGAATATCAACTTTGAGTGAAGTGTGGAACATGATACAGTTTTTTAGTTGTATTTATACCCATATAATGGATTTGGTCTCGGGTGACAAAGCCTTAAAAGATGGAATAACAACTTTGAGTGAAGTGTGGAACACGATACAGTTTTTTAGTTGTATTTATACCCATATTGTCCAAATGGCTATAAAACGGTGTGAAAAGTTGTGGCTTAGAAGTATATTTTTTGCAGATTTGGAAATGTTTTTCTTCAGTAGGGAAATAGGAAAGCAGCACATACAGAGAGAGCAATAAGAGGCGTGGGTGTGGTATGGGAATGTGTGGGTTTTGCTGGTGGTTACTGGCAGTAGCACAGTCACAAAGAACGCCAGAATTACCTGATTATACCCAAGTAGCCACGCTGTTGTAGCACCCTGTTCACATAAAGGTGTAGGGCTGAAAACTGAGGCTAAACGGAAGGAGTCCTGGTGTCGAATCAATTACTGCTCCAGTAACGTAAATGACTTGGTGATCACTTAAAACTCTTTCAAACCTTTTTGGCTCATAGGAGAGTTATTGTTGTGCACCTGACTTTGTGTTAAATTTGAAAGTAGCAATGAAAATCTTCAAATGCTGTTCTTCTCACGTGAAAGCCAAGACTATATTACAAGACAGTATGGTGTAGTATTCGGTTACTATTGTAACAAACCTTTGTCTCTTGCAGCATTTTAAATTTACCCCATCAAGCATCTCCTGTGTCAAGAACACCAAGCCTTCCTGCTGTCGACACCAGCTACATCAATACATCACTTATCCAGGACTACAGGCATCCATTCCATATGACACCTATGCCTTACGACTTGCAAGGTGAGCTTCTGACTGTCCAGAGCTGGAAGCACAGCTCTGCAAGCAATAATAACTATAAATGAATTTAAACACGCCGTCGTTTGACAGTCCCCTAGCGCAAAACATTATCTTGCACCCACTGAGGGATGAGATGGTATTAAAAATAAAAATAAAAATAAAAATAAAAATATTTTTTTTGGTTTTAATTGGATATCTCAAGGTTTTAAAAGGTTGATGTTTTGCAAGCTCCGGTAGTGAAGCAGATCTGAACTGTTACCAGTTTTATTTCAAAATAAATGGTGGAGAAATACGGAGGTGCTTGTTTGTTTTGAGAAGCTTAATTTTTTTCTTTGGCTCTTCACAGGTTTAGATTTCTTCCCTTTCCTGTCAGGAGACAATCAGGTAAGTCGAGAGAAATCAAGTCATATGGCAGATACTCTTTTGAGAGAAGGACTTGCTGGCATGGATGTATAGGCGAGGAAGGAGCAGATGCATGATGTAGGTGTAAACGCAGGCAGGCTGCAGCTTTATTTTATACACATACAAACATGAGCATTGTCTAAACAGGGTTGTAAGATAAGGCATAACAGAAAAGAAACATTTCAGTTTCTAAGGGTTAAGCTCGGTCAGGCCCTGTTGTGGCTGGGTCCCACCACTGGGACTCTTGACAGTCACAGAGTCAGGGGGAGCTCTCTGGCTTTCCTGTGCCTGTTCATAGCACGTTTGCCACCTTTTGTAAGTGCTTACTGAAATGGGCTGGATGGTGCTGGCTCCTCCAGTTTCGGGAGCTAAGCAGGTCATTCTCAAAGGAGTCTGGGTTTGCAAGTCCTCCCACTCGATCCCCTTTCCTCCAGTGGCCCCAAGAAAAGGAGGGGGCTGCCCTTTGTCCCTTCATGTCTGTTCTGCAATCTCGAGATACTTCTGTATCATATCTAAGACCAGAGTCTGCACTGGAGAAGCTATCTTGATATTCAGTAAAACATAGATACAAGAATTACTCTGAAACAAGCAGAGCATCTGATGCTGCGCTGATATGACATAATTACACCAGTGCCTAAATGTTAGGGAGCGAGGCTGAATAGCCTGCATGGATCATAGTGCTAAGAAACATCAAGAGCAAAATTACCCTGCAGAGAGGTTGTATTTAAAATCTGATCCTTGATAGCTGAGGGTTTTGCCTTGCAGGGGCTGTAACCTGGGACAGCCCTTGTTGCTGTCTGCTGGGGCTAAGCGTGCCGCTTCTAAACGCGTTTTTCACAGAAGTGTGCTTTCCTCCACCAGCAGTGATTAGCACGTAGTTGCACCAGCTCTGGTTGGTCTGGGACTTTTGAGCGGAGGAGAGGGATGGCAAAATGTTTCTTTGAATTTGGGGGCATTTTTCCACCAAGGAGTTTTTGGAAGAGGTAATAGTGTGCTGCTGCTTCCCCTTTGCTTACCGGTTTGGGTGCTTTGTTGATCCTGTTGCCTTTCTAGCGTTTGCTCTTACTAATACCAGTATTTCCAGATTCTTTTGGCTTCAGAAAATTGAGAAATTACCTGCAGACAGAGGTAAAAGCTCACGGACCTTACAGGCAGGTTGAGTAGACGAGCTGGTGTGAAATCCAGAAGCTGTCAGAGCTTTTAGCTTACAAATACCTGCTTTTGTGCTGGTCTGAATCGCAACGGTGGTGTCTGAAATGTAACTTGAAAATGTTGTTTTTCCCCCCCCAGCATTACAACACATCCCTTCTTGCCGCTGCAGCCGCGGCGGTTTCCGCCTCAGATGATCAAGAACTCTTACACTCTCGTTTTTTCCCATATACTTCATCTCAGATGTTTCTCGATCAGCTAAATGCAGGAGGAAGCAGTTCTCTGCCGGCCACAAATGGTAGCAATAGTGGCAGTAACAGCAGTCTTGTTTCCTCCAACAGCCTGCGAGAGAATCATGGTCATCCAGTTGCAAGTAGGAGCAGCACGGACACGGCCTCTATCTTTGGTATCATACCAGACATTATTTCATTGGACTGATTTTTTTTTCTTTTTTTGGAGTGAACGAACTCGGCGGAGGAAAATCTTTGTGCTTGGTTTTACTTTATGTTAGAAACATAGACGAGTTGGTTTGTTGGGTTGGTTTTTTTTTTGGTTTTTGGTTTGTTGGTGGTGTTGTGGTTTTTTTTTTTCCTTTTTTAGGGGGAAAAAAAAATTTATGTGTACAGAGAACAAAAGTATATTTTCAGTTTTACTTTTGTATATAAACCTAAGATGGCCTCACTGGTAAAAATGAGGGAAAAAAAAAAAAAAAAGAAAATTAACAAAACAGAAAAAAAAATAATTAACGAAAACAAGGAGCTTCAGTTCGTTTTTCTGGATGCTGAAGATTTTACACCCGTGCATTTGTTCTGTGAGTTACTTTATCTTCTCCCCCATAGTTTGGACACAAACGGCATTATTTTCTTCACGGTAACGTAGACAGGAAAGGAGCTGAACTTTTAAAGTTCAAACTTGTGAGAGGGTTTGTTGTTTTTTTTCCTCCTCTTGGAGACGTTGACCTTTGGTGGAATCTACTTCCCCCATCCCATATTTAGTGCAGATTTTATTGTGCTTAAAGCTGAATAAACCCTACCCAAACTGTTCCACAGCATCTCCTCTGTTTGCAGGACGTAGCCTTTCAGGAGCGAGCTTGGTTTTTTGGGGTGTTTGGGTGGTTTTTTTGGTCATTTCTGGTTCTATGTGACCCTCTGTTCAGACAATTTTTAATTCCATGCTTTAATCAAGCATGTTACAAGCTCATTAGCGCACCAATTATTCCTGAGGGCCAGGCTCAGTAAATTAGGATTTACTTGGCTGTGCTTATGCGGGACAAGACAGAGGATTTTTATCGAGTCTAACCCCAAATAAAAGCAGTGACACATTGAACTGTGGGGTTTTGTTTCGTCGAACTTACTATGGAATCCTTTTAAAATAACCTAAGATCCTGATCGGCAAAATCTGCAGCATGTGTCAGTTTTAAATCTGTGGAGCTGCTTGTGCTTTCCAGTTAGCCCTGCGTGTGTAAAGGGCCTCTTGAATCGAGGCCTGCCTTGTTCTGCCTGCAGAAACCTCCTTGTGGCTGCCGTAGCTCAAATTCCTGCTTCAGAGCGAACCTGTCAACCAAAGGAAGCGAGATACAAACCCCAACACACCCGTGCATGGTTTATGACCTGGTAACGGTCTTGGCGCGCTGTCTGCCCAGTTCACCTTCATCAAAGTGACTATTCAGCGTGCAACGGGACTCTCTTAAACCAAAACCCAGCCCAAGAAAAAGCCCCACACCATAGCCCGTGCCTGTTGCAGTGCCTGCTTATTGAAGTCTCTTAGGGTAGTGGGTTCCAAAATTCACTTGTCCTCTTTTTTTGGCCTTGTAATTATTTTGATCTCCCGGATTTTCAGCACGTTTATGTTGAACTTGGAGCCATATTTCCTAATTTATCTTTTTTTCTTTTATTTTTTCTTTGAAGTTGTGCATGGCATAGGAAAACCTTCCAGTAGAACCGGTGGGTCACTGGGGCTGATCCGCTCTTACTCCAGAGTGAGACGTGTAAATAGCTGGAATGCAGTTTTTTCAGGAGATTCTTTAAAGTAAGAGAAAGGGGGAGGGAAGGAAGTGATTCTCTTGTGTCCCAAAGTCCACGTCAGAGCGAGAAAAATCTCTCCTCTGGTGTGAAAAATATTTTTCTAAGTGGTTGAAAGTGCAGGTAAGAAGTTTATCAGGAAGAGAGAGTAAGGAATACTACAGTGAGCAGATCCGTGTCTGAATTTTTCATGTCCAAACCTGTTGATTGCAGCTTGTTGCTTTTGAGCATTGACAAGGGCCACCTTTTGCCTATGAAGTTGTCTCAAAAAAAATCTTGCGTTGATTTAGAGGAAAAACAAAAAAGGGAAAAAAAAAACAAGAAAAAAAAAGGAAAAAAAAAAGAAAAAAGGAAAAAAAAAACTCTTTAATCCAAGTAGCATTAGGTATTGCTGTATGATCAGTCGTATGGTTATTTGAAAGGTTCACATGACGTGGCATCCAAATCGTTTTTAGTGTTTTTACAGCATCCCTCTGCCACTAAATAGTTGACTTGAATTTTGAAAACAACTGTTTGTGTTTATATGTATATGTGTGTGTATATATGTATTTATAGATCCGTGTGTGTGAGTTCAAAGTGAGTTAAATAGTTTTTTCCCATGCATGTGTATTTCATACATATCTGGCTGATATATATATTTCACCATACACCAATTTTATAATTTATTAAATGTCAGTTAAAAAAACAAAAAAAATAAATAAAAGGATAGAAAATGGGAAATACTTATTTTTTAAGCTCAGTCTGATTTTGAAGTGATTAAACCTACATTAGGAATATATCTCATACATTTTAGTCATGAATACTAACCTGGTAACTTCAGAGCATATGCTTTGCTGTAATACCGTTTGTAAACCTGGAGTAGAAACGCCATCGCTGTACCTGGGAGATTAAAACCACCTCTGAGAAATTCGGGATGGCCGCTTTTACCGACGGCTGCGGCGACGTTTCCATGGACTGTGTTGTTACAGATGACCTGGAGAGCAGCTTGTGTCGCTGTTGACGATGCTATTGAAGCCCTGTTCGTTCACGTATCACATGAAACGTGGCGAGCGCGTGGTGACAAAGGAGCCGGCGTCTTTGTGGCTGCGGTAGCTTTTGGAAAGCGAGGTGGGCTGGTGGTGCCTTCCCTTTCCTCACGGGTCACCTGGAGGGGAGGAAAGCTGCTCAGCTTCCCGCTGTCGTATGTGAACCTCGGCGCTCGACAGAGAAGGGACAGCAATGTCCTGCAGTCCTCCGTTGTGGTATTGGTCCCATATGCTTTGTGAGTATTCCTGTTTCACGCTAGGGTGTTCTTGACAAATCTCTGTGCCTCTGACCACAGTTAACATTGCTTGGTAGAAGTCTCAGTCTGAGTTCTCCACGAGTTCCCTGCAGATGTTACCCAAAACTCCAGTCTCCGTTAACTCCCGTGCGCTCAGAGAAGCAGTGAAGCGGCCTGGGGTGGCCTGGCTTCTGCCACCCTCACCGTGGTGAGGAGGATCAAATCATCCTCAGATCATCCTCGAATCATCCTCAAATCCCGCCCCGGGAGGAGCGGGCTGTGCTGGTGCACGTGTGGTGCTGTGTGAGTACGTGGCTGTCTCCATAAGGTGGAATTGGCTTTGAATCGCTCTTTACTGATGCATCCTTTGAAGACTAAACTATAACCTTACAAACCTTAGTGCTTCCATCCCGACAGACGTGACAGCAGTGCCAGGCTCGCCCCGTCCTCTCCGTGGCGAGGATTCGGTAAAGCCTTGGAGGATGGGATGACAGAGAGGTTTCCATTGGACTTTGGACCTGCCTCCCAGCGCAGAGCTGAGGACTGTGAGGAGAACGCTTGGGGAATGAAATCTCGGTTGCAGTTTTAACGTTTCAGGGTTTTTAAGCACATTCGAAGCAGAAAGGATTTTGTTTTGTCAGTGTAACTGGGTTGGGTTTTTTTCCTTATTTTTTTTTTTTAATTTTGTAACAGAGCTTAGATTTCTAACAAGGGAAAATTGCTGGTGGTCCCCGAAAGTGCTGCTGTTAATTGTTTTAATTAACAAAGGGAAAAATGTATATAAGCAGAATATTAAAAATACCATTAATTCCATGAATTTAAATCTGTCATTCATTGCCTTAAAAACTTTCTCTTAGTTTCCATACGGCATGCCAAACCAGTAAATGGCTTTTAAAAATGTATAGTAGACCAATGTCAGTTTGTATAAAAGTACCAAGTGAAAATATTTATTATATGCATTGGAAACAAGCAAACAAAAAAGCGGTTTACCTATTGAATGTTACCTGTTTATGTAGAAATCTTTAGATGTAATAAAAAGCATTCAGTTACGTTGTGTTTCCTGGGGGGGGAAAAGGGGGTTGGGAGGGGAAAACGGGGTGATTGGTGGCACAGAGCCTCACACTTTGTCTCTCCAATGCTGTTTTTTGAGTGCGGATCCTCTTTTGCTCGCTTTTATTTGGGGGATATTTCCCCCACAAGGGTGGTAACTGCTTAGTATGGTTCAGATGCACGCTGGAGTAACCCAAAGTGGTTTGGAGCTGATCAGTCCCTGTGACTTTCAAGCTTTTATATTGTCTGCAGCGGAAAGGATTTGTTAATGAACCCTAGGGAAGAATTAAGCGGTGTGATGGATCATTTGTGATCTAGCTGTGGATGCGTATTGGATACAGATGCTTTGAGATGAGCTCCTTGAGCATAAGCTCTCTATGCTCAAAGCATCCCAGGGTTTTGCTCCCCTCCATTGCTGGTGTTTCTGCCCCTCCAAACAGTGGTGTGCGAAGGCTCAGTGACAAGGTAGGTCGGCTTGTGGTCCAAACATCACTGTGCGCAGTGCGAAGAGAGTTGCAAGGGGAATCCTACGTTTTGCTGTTATTTGGAACCTGTTCTTGGTTTTTCTGGTGAATCCTATCTCTATTTCACTGCGTGATGTTTTTTCTGGAGCGTTACCTGAGCACTGAGCTGCTTGGAACTCAAATTTTCAGAGAAACGAGGTTGGTTTTGGTTTTGTTTTCTATCTGTAGAGTAGGAAGAGGTAACAGAAGAATCAAAGTATGTCGGGGTTACGTTGAGCAGTTTATTTCCTCTTCAAGCATGACCCTTTGCAGTTCAGAGGGCCTTTGCTGGGTGCCATGATCCAAGTCTGAGCTTACCAGGTTAGTCTGGGATGCAGACCTTGCAGCTCGGCTCCGGATCCGCTTCCACTTCTTGCATTGCATTCAACGTGTATTTAATCTTTAGTGCCTGTGTGATCTATCCCGTGGGAATATCCCCTGCCTTTCCTTTGTGGAGGGGTTAAAATTTGGGTTTCATACTCTGGGTTTTTTTCAGTTTATAACCGAGTCAGTGCTCGTTACACAGCCCTGCTTGATTGCAGTGGGGCGTGATGGTTTTGGGGGTAGCTGTAGGTGGGTGCCTCGGGATAAACGCATTGTGCGATGGCTGAAGTGATTGAACTGCTGGTCATTTCACTGGTGGAGCAACGAGGGAGTTGCTGGGTTCAGTGGTAAAGATTCAGAATT